CGGACGAAAATCCTGGGACCGCCGCTGATCTCTTTGCATTACTTCCCATAATGCTGGTCAGTGAGTGGACTGTATGAAAAACTTACTAAGTAATACATTCAAATTGGACAGAAACATGAAGCTAGAGAAGAACATATGGATGACTTTTAGAGACAGACGTACAGTGCACCAGTGCTCTTGAGACTGCGCTTCTATAAAGGAATGATAAGAACGCTTATTTGATTTGTGCAGAACCGACCAGTTAATGTGTCATTGGCTAGATCGCTAAAATATATGGTCACTTCGGCTTGGTCCATGCGACATTTCAGATGCATCTCGCCATTGTTATTGACTTTCAAAGTCTGAAACATGTCTCCTATTACGCAGGAGACCTCTCAAAGTGGCAAATGCTTACCACATTCTTGTTTCCTACGTGTTTCAGCGACTGCAGCACTCTCATCACAGATCTTATAGGGGGAAAGTAAACTCCCAACTAAAGTAGGTTTTAACTGTATAATTCATAGACTGCACCAACTCGAGCACGTGCCGGCACCGTGCCACTGCAGGACGCCGCGAAACATAGCGCGCCGCTGCAATTACTCGAGCTCGCTTTTCTCTTTTTGTTTGAACTTGATGGTACTAGCTCAACACTTTTAAAGACTATTCAACAAAAGTTTCGTGAAAATGCCCGCAAACACAGTTCTTGCTGAAGAACAGGAAAAAGGCCCCAAGTGGAACGCAAGGTTTCATGGCGTCCTGAGTTCTAGCAAAACAAAAACATACCACTCCTCTAGGAACATCTGGACGTCGAAACATTGCCCAATGCGCGGTTTTGATTAACCTCACAGGAAGCTCATGTATTGTTCCTTTATCTCGTAGTTCCACTTGGAGGAAGGGCTTCTGCAGTGAGACATCATCTCGGTGTGACTACTTGGTATATAAAAGCAATCAAACCTGGTTTGGCTTCTGTCTCAGTTTTATTTTGAGATAAGAATGAACTCCAACAACACTTTTTTCGAGATCTTCTATATCTAGTTCCATAACAATTTCATCTCTTTCTTCAGAGACCCCAGCGAAATTCTGAATCGGCCAAAATCGCGTCTGAAGAGGTAAGTATCCAGAATAGTACTTACGAATGTCTCAAAATCTGGTCGTGGAGGAATGAGCACGCTGAGGAAATTTCCCTGTTCTCGAAGGGTGTCATTTGCTACGAAGCACATGCCTAAACTCCGTATTGAAGATGCAATACTGTTCCATAACAAAAATTAGCTCTTGAAGTTGTTGAATTAATCAAATGAAACTTTCGAAGATTAGACTTGAGATACGTTTTTTCATTGCCAAATGAAAGCATCGTTGAAAGCATCAGCAGCTTGTTTCTTTTTTTTTCCGAATTCACACCTTTTCTCACCAAACACTATGGAGGCAGAACTTCGGTATTTGGATGTCAAAGGAACAAGCTGAGCTAACCTTCTTTTGTGATCCTCAGCCCACACCGTTTCTTGCACAAACGAGCAACAGCGCCGATACATTCTGAAGATAAAAACATAATCTTTTTCCATATCATCAACACGCATACTCGAAAATGACTCCACCGATCCTTGATCACAAAGTATGGCGGAAAAGCGCATTGCTGTAAGTTTCTCTGAATAAAAGCATAGAATATGTTTCCAACAAGTATCACAATAGCCGGCGAAACAGATTCAGAACGGAACAGTTCAGCCTTTATAACTTTATTGTATGGAAGTGTATTGGTTCATCAGATTGAAGGATGTTTTACCAAAGTCAACCCAGCGTTCTGAAAGATGTGGCCTTTGAGCTTTAGCTTAGGAAGTGTAAGTGATGTACAGATACTCACTGTGATAATATACTCCACTGAACATGTAGGAGAAAATGGAGACTTTACGACCCTGATTCGCCTAACGGTTCCAGATTTAGTTGTAGAACGATCCAACCAAAGCTGAATTGTCGGTCTTCTTGACGAACCCTTTGATAGAAATGGAGTTGTCGTCCATTCACCACCGGATGAATCAGGCCGCGTTGTGATGTGATTCACGTATACCACCTACTGATACTTATTCAGACTTCAACAGCATACAGAAGCTGGGCTTACAGCTATGTTGTGATGAAGAGCGATATTATAGAGCATCGTAAGAACATTTCGCCAATTTTGAAAGTCTTCCTTTTCGGTGCAGCCACGAAAGAAGGTTGCTATAGCGTCCACAATAACAAGGGAAGTCTGAAGGTAAAATTTCACTAAATTCGTCTACAGTTCAAGTGGCGCTATTCCACATTAGCTGACACAAAAATTAAAATCCTGAATTCTGCTAAACTTCGTCTAGAGGGATAATTTGTTACTCTGAACACGAGTATATGTTTAATTCACGCGGTAGCGCCATCCGGTGGAGTTACGGTGGGGTTACGG